TATGATTAAAAGCTATGGTTTTAGAAAAAAATCGTTTTCTTACAGTTTGTCCCAATTATTCCGAAAAGTACATCCGAATCTAGACAAGGAACCCAAAGTTGCACTAATTAATAGTGCTATTGGCATAGGGTTTTACGTTAATGGATGAAACTTCTTGGCCATTTCGGACAGATGGGGTGCCAAAATACTTGCAAACAATCGTAGTGGATAAGTTATTTTACTCACCTGATTAGAACCCAAATGAGCACGTTGGTACCTTATGGCGCCAATTTTCAGTGCACCTACAGTAGAACATCGTTTATCTGAATCAATTGGGACCAGACACCATTCGGATATGTGATTGTTCGGATAACCGAACGTGATCCATGAAGTATATGATACTGGACACTGTACGGATATTGAAAATCATCACATGCAGGAAGTGTGCTTGAAGAAAAATCAAAATTTGTGCAATATGTCGCAATTTTACCTTGATGGTGGGAAATAATCACTTATATTTTGCTGTACCATTGTACACCGTCGTTTTATCTCTGTAAGGTTTCTGATTCTCTTCAGCAGCAGTAGTTGAGAAGGACAATACTTTGATTGTTGCTAGTACCACTCCATAGCTGCCTCTGACGCAGAAAACCCTCAGCATTTTCTAATTTCGTTGTTGTTGTTGTCCTCGTCTTCATCCGTTTCATCGTCGACAGGATCGGATTCTTCTTGCACGAAAGTCACAATCTCGTCATCCTTTAGAATTTGAAATCCACAGTCTTCTGCATCGCATGCCATTCAGGTTTCTACATCAACAAAACTCAACAAAAGAGCACTATACACCCCCTCACTTAGAATCAAACTGACCTAATATTCCGCGCTGATATTAACCAAATCCCACAACTGCAATTCCCCAAATATCCCTCACCTTGGGGTTTCCCGTCACTTTTTGGTTCACACGAAACAACTGTTGGGCATTGCACTGTTCAAAAATATATCCGGAGTTTGGTTCTGATATTTGATGTAATAAACGTTCTGATAAACGACGATCTACTGTAATTCCTCCCCGTACCCTCTAGAAGCTGAAAAGTGCATTTTAAGAAGTGCTAAATACAATTCTACAACACTTCAACTACACTCTTCTAAACACTAGAAAATTAGGATGTAAGGCATACCTGAGCATACCTGCACGAGGTGATTATAAACCATATTAAAGAAAGCTTTTTACCATAATGGGGGAATTCATTTTTTCATCATTTTCAATTTCCATGAATTCAGTTTCAATACTTTGTGAATAATCGACTGCCAAACGGTGTAAATTTGGTTAACTATTGCTTTTGCATAAATTTCTACAAATCATTTTTAGTTTTAATTCTGTTATTATCCTTTAATTTGGAGATGAGCAGTGTTATATACACTGCTGGCCACCTTAAATGCAACACCAAGGAAGACAAGATATAGCACAACAAAATTTATTTTGTAGATAACATGTTGACCAAGTATCAAATGATCAAAAATTTATAGACTTCTGTGAAGTGTGGTTCCTGCCAGAATCAGTAGCCAGAGTAGCCGCCATTGTTGGAGATCACCGCTGCCACACGCCTTGGTATTGATTCAAAGAGACTTTGGGTGTGTTCTTGGGGTACAGCAGAACAAGGAGCTTCCACACGTTGCCAAAGTTGATCTGGTGGGGCAGATGGGGTGTAACCTGGGTCAATCGTTCAGCAACCATGGACCACATGTTTTCTATCGGTGAAAGATCCAGAGAGCAAGCCGGCCAGAGAAGCAATTCCATCTGGTGATTGACGAAGAACCTTTGGACAATGCGTGCTACGTGTGGTCGCGTATTATCCTGTCGAAATATGGCTGTGGCCAAGCCCTGAAAATAAGGAAGGACAACTGGCTCCAACACCCGGATATGTAGGGCTGGCTGTTTAAAGTACCGGCAATGCGTACTGGAGGAGTGCGAGAGTGATTTCCAATACCGCCCCATAGTATAATACCCAGTGCAGGACTAGTGTGGCGGTGCATAACGCAGCTGTTCCGCATCCTCTCTCCACGGTGTCTCCAGACTCGAATCCGACCATCTTGGTGTTGCAGGCAGATGCGTGACTCTCCAGTAAAGACAACTTCATTCCATTCTGCCTCCCACATCCTTCTTTCATCACACCATTGTCGGCGGAGACGTCTGTGTTTCTGCGTCAAGGGTAGACCAAGCAATGGACGTCTTGCGGATAGACCACTCTGCTGTAAACGGCGTCGAATGGTACGCGCAGACACTGAATGATGCGTTACAGACTCAATGTGCTGTGCTATGGTTCGTGATGTGACTGAGCGATTCGTCACTGCCATGCGCACAATTTGTCTGTCCTCACGTGAAGTGGTGTACTGAGGTGGATGCGATCGACCACGTCGGTCCGCCGTACCCTCCTGCATCCAACGGTCACATATCCGCATTACAGTTGTTTCGTTTCGTCCAACATGACAACCGATTTCCCTGAAAGATAGTCCACAATCTCGGTAGGCCACTATCCTTCCTCTGTCGAACTCGGATACTTGATCCAAAGCTGATCGCTGTTTTCTACGAGACATAATTGATCGTTTTTTGAAAAACCCACAAGAAAATCACAATTGCCGAACTTGATATCGTCGAAATCTCCAAGCCTTAAAGAGTGCTTTGAGTTGGCGCCACAGGCGTGCGTGATGTGTGCCTGTGCTAAAATTCTAATCATTTGCATATCTGACCTCCGCTAATGCATATTGTAAATTTCATGTTATTTGCGTGCTTCTTTCAGGGTGTTGCATTTAAGGTGCCAGCAGAGTATTATCGGAAAAACCCCTCCCCCGAATCGTTTGATTAAAAATTCAGTAATATATTTAAATGATTTTCACACACACACACACACACACAAGCATAAAAGAAATATTGCATATGCCACCTAATCAAAGGTGTCAGGTCGAGGCCCATGAAATTCACCGTGGCAAAATGTACTCTTTTCGTTAGCCGTATATGTGAGCATGCAAGTGGCTGTTCGTTTTGGCTCGGTTCTATCCTAATTTCTAGAGAGAACAACTTAAAAGGGGGGCTTCCCATCTCTCTTCTCCTTCCATCATTCTCACGGCTAGACGAATATTTAGAGACCCTCCATGCCGCGAAGGCCCTATACCAGGGGTGACCAACCAGCGACACGAATGCCACAGCGGAGTACGGTAGAGTTGTAACAATGGCAGGCAAAATCTTAATGACAAGTTTTAAAATTTCTCAAAATATATTAAATAATAATTTTTTTTTATATTCACCAAGATCAGATCGATAATTTGATTTTCAGAATGCTTAGGCGTGTTGTACTGATTGTATTGCATTGTCTAGGAAACATACTATGTATTAACCATCATACCAAGCATGTAATATTGGTTTTTATAAATAGGTTTTTTTGTAATTTATTCCAAGGGGTAAAATAGCTATTTTTACTAATAATATCAAACATATAGAATTTTTTTTGTTCTTTACCTTTTGTTTAATAAAAAGGATTTACAAATTATTCACATTTGTTTTGCTTCCGACTCTTTGCCTAAACTTGCATTATACTTAATTTATGGGCACATGAGAGTAAATGATTTAGTAAAAAAGTAGTAATTCAAAAGCTAAATTAAGTTAATACTGAGTTGTTAATAATTATTTTGAATTAAATGATTAATTACTCCTTTTTATTTCATACCTAACCTGACTGATTAATTTTCACAATTAACCTGACGGATTAAGTTTATTAAAATAAAGCTTAAAAGTTTCTGTACTTTCGTCTTATTCATTATACTATCTTTAAATTTCGATTACATAGACTTGCATAAAAAATTTGCCATTTGCGTGAAAATCTCTGAAAAGGCTTATGAGTTACATTATTTCACTTTTCCATATTTGTTTGTTAGAAAAGTTGGAAGTGGTACGTTTAATTATTTTTTATCAAATAGTGACACACTTCTCAAAGAGATTGCGCAGACCTGTCCTAAACATATAAAACCGTCGATGCCTTCTCCGGGATTCGAACGTAGAACCTAACCACTATCCCGGATAGGAGTATAAATTTCTCCCTGGTTTTAATAATGAGCTAATTGATCTTGCTTCTATTCTTAATTTGATATTTTTCGTTTATGAGTAGATTCTGAGTTTTTTCAACTAAACCGCTGTTACTAAATATTAATAATGAGCAATTTGACTAGGAGCTATTGTTGGAATAACGAGAAAAACTCTTATTTTAATAAAAATAATGTTTATCTTCTAATCAAATTTAAAATGTAAAGTATATAATAATTAAAAGCATTTTCCATAGTTAAATTTGGTTAACTATCAAAATTAAAGAATAAAAAATAAATAATAAGAGCCAGCCATGCAAAAAAGAATTATCAGTATATAATTAGGATGAAATCTCTACTGCTCCTTTCAGGGAATTATTGAAAACAGAATTAATTCGAGCGTCAGTAATAACAGGAAAACTCTCAGCAAATATTCCCATTTAAAGTCGCTGAATTATATGTAATCCATGTAGATGCCAGTGAGAGGAGGCATTTTTTTTTAGTTGTTAGAAATAATTTGTTTGAGATCATTATAATTTTTCTAAATGCCACAAAATTTAAAATAAGTTTTTTTTGCTAGTAGTTATATGAATTGCGATCAGATAAGTTCAACACATCTCTCTCTGTGATCCAGCAGCTTAATTTCAGTATCCATTTCAATTATATATTTTTTTTTCATGCGCATTTTTTAGTAAATAAAACATGTCATAAGAGTCGAGAAAAACTTGTGATGGGTTCTATTCACGTTCTTTCATTAATTATCTTAGGAAAATACTTCTTTGACTGTTCGAGTTTAAAAACAACTTTTGTAGAGAGAACTTCATTTTAACCTAATTTGAGTGTTAGTTAAACCCTGGTAATGTTTGTGTTAGGGTTAGTTATTATTTTGTTATTTAAGAGAGATTAACGCAGTGACATTCGGAAACCTTGGTGAAAGGGATCAGAAGCTCGCACACAGCTGGATCTCTGGCGGGAATCGTTTATGGTCAGACCTACAAAGGTATCAAATCTTCTTCGAGCTTCTGACTTTAATTCTTGGATAATGGAAGAATTTTTGGCAAAGGACTTTGCATTAGGTTGTCTTAGAATTTCACCTCTAGCGTCGGGATACGAATACCCCCGTTTGTTTCTATTAGTCATTACCTCGAATTCCTTGAACCCAACGAACCCAGAACTGAGGTCGTGTTCCATCGTTCCGTGCATTGCTATTAAAGCGTTAGGCTTGCCTAGAGCACTCTAATTTTTGCAAAGTGACTACCACCATCCACAAGGAGAGGACAGGTTAAAATCCCCCCCCCCCTCGAGGAAGCGAGGAAATGACGGGTGACTACGTGAGCGCGCCCCCACGTCCAGAACAGATGCCCAACTACGAGCTTTTTAACTGCAACAAATTTTAGTATACGCTACTGGAGCTAAAATACTGCAGTGGCTGGCATTAGTCTTGCCCTTCAGTAGGTCATCCTTAGAGGGCTTAGAGCGTATTCATTCCGATCACGGGGTACTTGTAATTATTTTTTAAAATGTAAGAACTGAAACTGTGTTTTTAAACTGGAATGTCTTTTTTATTCACTATTTGCATTAATTAATTCTGAAGTTCAATGTTTCTTTTTTCAATTATTGCGTAACATATATTAATGATTTATTATATTTACTAGGTATCATCACTTATTTTTATTTATTGCCATCAGTAGTGTAATTTATCATTAATTCCAGAGTAGTAGAAACGAATGAAATTATCAGTATTCTTAAATACTTTAAGTTTTTAATATTCTGATTTATCTTATTAGTTCCGGAACATGTAGCGTTAAATTATATATTTTCTCAAATTTTTCGTGTATAAAGTTAAAAGTAAGTTTACACGAACAAAAAGGACAGTTTATGTTTACCTAGTTATTTTGTAAGATTCATATACATTTTTAATGCCATAATTATCTTGTTGATTGTTTGTGAGATATAAAAAATACTTGGCAAATTTATAGTCGGTTGAATATGCATTTTAAGACAATGTTAGACACACTTTGATATACCAAAGATCTAACCCAATCGAACAAGCAGCTGTGGGAATTGGACTAAATTCCAGATTTATGGGAAGACACTCTCATAAATAGGGGCAGGAAGTTTGCCAAATGTTCTTGATCACGATAGTATCTATAAATTTAAAATATTGGTTATGGTACATGTGTAGTACCAGAACACGATTGTAGCACCTACCTCTGTTAATATTCTGAACTAATGTGAACGTGATAGTGTATCATAAAGCTATGTTTAGGAAATATTATAAAACGTGATAAGGTTGAAATAGGTTGTGGATTAGAAATGAGATGCGTTTATTAAGGATGTTTAAATACTTCAGAAGTAATCAAGATGCAATAAGGTTATACAGAATATATTTATCTCCAATAATATAAATTGGTCAAAAAATGTGCGTATACTTCCCTAATTGCTTGTTTGTTGATCATTTAAAATATACAGATATTTTTGATATCACACTCTTTTGTTTTAATGTTTTATTTATAAAACAGTAAAAAAAAAAAATGGAAAGCCAATTACACAAATTATTACAAAGCGAGTGCTATCTGAAATTTTAGCAAAATCTGAAAAATTACATAAATGAATTCATTACACAAAAGAAAACAAATCAATAGAAAAATAATTAAAGACACCACAACAAGAAGTTATCTTTTCTTGCTAAATTTTTAGACAGAAATATTTTTAGATCAAACATGTAAAAATAATAAAGAAAATGGAATCAATAATTATAATTCCTATGCATATCACAACTACACAATTTCATGGTCCGTAAGCGAAGAAAAAAATCTAGATCATTATTTCCAATTGGATTTCTTTGACTACTCGCTAAGCCTGTATTAGGGCCTCGCATATGGGTTCGTGAATATAAAAATAATATATCGTAAATCGAAAGATACAAAAGAAGTCAAAATTGTGAAAAATCAAGGACGTATTAAAACTTCTTGAGGACCTGGGCCCTACGCAAAAGTACGCTCTGAGCCCCTATGCCAAAGTAGACCCTAAGCCTCTACATAAATGTATCCCACTTCATGGACAGTGCTTGATCTTCATAAACACATACCAGCTCTGTCTGAGTTTAGTTGAGTGTCTTTCCAAGCTTAAAACAAAACTTTAAATCATAGGTTCTCAACCTTTTTTGAACTGGTGCCCCCTTTTCTAGTGAATATTTCCACACCACCCCTTTCCACTCTAGAGAAATAAGAGTGTACGTAATACACGGTGAAAACAAGTATAAATTTTTTAAAAAAATTGTATTACTAAGAGAAAACATATGTTTTAATTTAATTTTTTTCTACAGCCCTAATTTTTTTACATGCGAATCTGAAACAGCTATGCCACAAATATATTTAAATGTGTAACATTATATATTTTAGTCTTAGATATGATATTGTTGGAAATGAAACTCTGTACTGAATTTCTTCTTCATTTAAAAGAGTGGAATAAAAGTTTTAGCTTACCTGTTTTAAAGACAGTCAGGGGTTTTGATGATACGAAGTAATTCATAATACATTATTGATTTCAAAGTAAATATAAATTGACAGTTCAGCCTTTAAAGAATCACAAGTTAATTCCTGGTTAAAGTATTTAAATATGTTTCTCGGAAAATATACAGAATGAAATGCAGTGGACGAAAGATTTTTCCTACTACTCACAAGCAAAGACAAGACGTGCACTACAGGAATAAAAATACACTATATCATTCAACTTAATTTAATGTACGTCTAAATGTAATGTAATCTTTAAGTTTTTCATCTACTTCCCGAACTAACGAAATATGTGAATTTTCGTACATGTGATATAGGAATGATTTAAATGCATACAAGCAATATAAGGTAAATAGTATTAGTTTACTTTTGTTAGTACACAATCAGCGTGTTTTTTAAATCTTTTCTAGACTATATTTGTTTAATCTGCTCAAACCCCTCTGCACTATCTCAACGCCCCCTAATTTTCTCTGGGTCTTTTACTGCCCCCCTGAAAGCCTCAAACCTTCACGTTGAGAACCTATGCTTTATATTGATCTTTTGTTTGTTCATTTTCCTGTTCTCAGTTAAGAACCAACGTACTAAGCAAGCACTTTGTAAAACAAGTCCTACATGGAACACAAATGAGTCTGAACTGAACTACGATGGGGGCAGATGGTCAACACCTACCACTACTCATGTGCAGCATTCTGTTTCTCCAGTTTTGCCAGAGCAGCTGTTCTGATTTCATTAACCGAACTTTATTTTTAGATGTTGTATATAAGCACACAGAGGTCCTAAAAATTTTATAAATATTCTTTTTATTTTTTTCAATATTTTACATTGCAATATATATATATATATATATTATATATATATATATATTATATATATAAATATTTTAAATTATGGAAATTCTGAAAGTATTTAATTACTTTTTTTAATAAAACATTTTATTAAATTATCATATAAACTTTCAATCAAATTCTTATAATAAAAATGCTTCTTATGTGTAATATTTTTTATTACCAATGCAATAATATTCCACGCACTATGGTGAATTATGAGATAGAGCTTCTTTTTATGAACTCAATATGATATTCATGAGAAAAGATTTATATTTTAATGGATAACTCTACCATCAGTAAATTCAATAATTGTTTTGTACTAGTTCATTTTAAAACAATTCTGGGCTTTTAATTGTGATGAGAAGAACAATATAATAATCGATAGAGCTCTTTTTATAAACGTAGTACTGAAAAGTTTTGATTCTGTCTAATGGTGGTTTGCAATCAGTTTTGGTAATTATGATATCTTCTCAAAATGAAAGTGATCTATAGGCTTTAGTTCACTGGTTGAAAGGTTTTTTTTATTCAAATTCAATAAAAGAAAAACAAGGAACATTGTCTGCCTTCATTGATGTATTTACCTATTATGCAAAAGGTAAAAATTATGAAATAACTTAGAAAATTACAGTTGATGTTACTTAATATTAATGCAAGATAGCATCAATCCAAATCTATGAATAATAAATTCCTTCATAGTTTCTTCCCACTTATTTTAACAATTGAAGCTCAATCATGAGAATCATCGACTTGTCTTATCAATTAGCCTTATCTTTGAACACATCAGAAGTCATTTATCAAAGTTAAATGTGTATGGCACAACCCCATTCAGATATTCTTCAGAATATTCCAATAAAAAGCATGATGCATTAAGTATTTAACTTGTCACACACTTTTTAAAGTTGTATTTGTGATCCTATGATCAGTGTACATGGTTTCTAAACCCTTGATCGATTTTAAGTCACGGTTTCTAATTTGTGTATATTTTAACTAAAAAAATATTTACGATAGATAGAAGGTGGATAAAGATCGCGCCGGCCTTTTTTCGCCCATCATATTCATGAAAATTTAAAATATTTATTGCAGCTACATTATTACTTTATGTGTGAACGTTAGGTATTGATATTTAGTTTTATTCTAAAATAGTAAGAAAAAGAAATACCAAGTCACATAAAAAAGTCATCAAACTTGGCAAATTTGTTGAGTTTTGTTATGTTAGGCGCTGTAAGCACCACTATATTCCTGGTCTCTCAAGTACTACAATAATAAGGCTTTTAAAGTGGCATCGTTCTGATGCATCAAAAGTGTTGAAGTGATTCGAAACAAAATTACTTGTCCCCGAATCGGTCAGACTGATAGGCTGGGCAAGAAAAAGGGCGATATGGACTTCGTTAAGTGACTCTGATCTTCCAGATTTTCCACGATTAACATGGAAGAAGCTACGATATTTAACTCTTGAGATATATCAACTTAATCAATCAGAGCTGTACTCTCTTAACGTAAATTGAGAAGATTCCTCAGTTGTTCGAATCCGATTGAGATCACGACACTCAAGTTAAAAAGTATATGACATATGGATAAAATTAAGTATAGGTTTAATCCAAATATTGAGAGAATGGTATTGTCAGAGCCAAGTTGGTGCTAAAGTTGTTGGTTGATAAGCACATGTTGCATCTGTACTTTGGTACTTAGGATACTGGCGCCATAATCACACTCAGACAAAAACATCAAGTCTTGGATATGATGATACAATTCAAGACGCTGCTACTGGATGGTCCAGTGACGATTCAGACAGTGAAAGCGAGAAGGAAATATAATCGAAGACTTTTGTTACAAATAATTTAACAATTTTATTTTTTTTTCTTCTGTTTTCTCTATTTAATAAAAGATTTCTTTTTTTAAAAAAAAAACCTAACATTTTTATTTTGACTGAGTATCAGTGTTAAAAATATACATATATGAATTTACCGATGGATGAAAAAAGTTCGATCTTTACCCACCTCCTGTGAGCATACAATCCTCAATTGAAGCTTTTGGGGAAGGAGAGAAAAATTGCGCCAACAGACATTTTTTAGTATTAGATCTTTATCGAATATAGCGGCCACCAAGTTGGCAAATTGCGCTATACTAAAACTGGAAAAGCAAATTTTTTATGAACTTGAC